TCCATCAAGATCAGCTGTGTATTATGCTATTATATAGCCTTCCACAGAGTTTTGAAAACTTTCGGTGTGCTATTGAGTCTCAGGATGTGTTGCCTACACCAGAGGTTTTAAAAATAAAAATTCTGGAAGAAAGTGAGGCTCGTAGGCAAAATTCCTCTGGTGGTGGGACTGAAGCAATGGCAGTTTGGCGGAATAAAAAGCTGACACCAAAGGTTGTGCCTGCAAGTAAAGAAGATAACCGTAATAATAATAATAATAATACAAGCACCCCAAATGGAAAATGGCAGGTAAAATGTTTCAAGTGTCGTAAATTAGGGCATAAAGTTCCAGAGTGTCCACGACGTAATGCACCTAGTGCGAAAACAGCACAAGTAGAAGATGTTTTTCTGACTACCCATGGCATGGACAGTATTGCCTTCAATACACAGTCCATGGAGAGGTGTAATCGTTGGTGCCTTGACAGTGGAAGCACATCTCACATATGTCGAGATGCGAATAGTTTTTCAGATTTGAACAGAGTGGAGTCTGGAGAGCTGAAGCTGGCTAGTCGATCTTCGACCAGTATTGAAGCCAAGGAAACAGTACAGTTGGTAATAAATGATGGCACTCGAAATAAGGCGATTGAATTACGTGAAACTTTGCTGGTTCCTGACTTAAGAATGAACTTATTGTTAGTGTCGGTGGCTCGGATTACTGATCAGGGATATGAAGTTACATTTCATAAAAATGGTGCAAGAGTGAAGAACTCTGAAGGTCAAATCAAGGTTGTCGCTGATCGTATTGGTGACTTGTACTATATAAGAGAAGAAGACAAGCAGATTTGTGCAATTTCGTCAAGTCGTAGCGAAGAGACTTTGACATTGTGGCACGAGCGTCTAGGGCACGTCAATTACCGGGATCTGCTTCAGATGATTAAGAACAAGCAGGTCCTTGATGTCAATTTGAAAGGAAGCGAAAGTCTCCCTTTCTGTGAGGTTTGTGCGAAGAGTAAAATGACCTCTTTACCTTTTACGAGACGTAGTAGCAGAGCCAATAAACGATTGGAGATCGTACATGCGGATCTGTGTGGGCCACTGAGGACGGAGTCCAAGAGAAGAGCTCGATTTTGTGTTACCTTCATTGATGATTTCTCGAGATGGTGCGAGGTATATTTTATAAAAAATAAAAGCGATGTTCTTTCTGTTTTTAAGCAGTATAGGGCCTATGCCGAGAAGCAGACAGGCGAGAAAATAAAGCACCTGCAGACGGATAACGGCAAGGAGTTTTGTAGTGCAGAGTTTGACGAGTTTCTTAAAAGTCATGGAATTCGGCGTCGACTTACGGTCCCTTACACTCCGCAGCAAAACGGCATAGCGGAACGAAAGAACAGAACCTTGGTCCGAGATGGCAAGGTGTTTAATGATGCAAGGGGGTCTTCAGCCGTCGTTTTGGGCAGAGGCGGTTCATACCGCGAATTACCTGAGGAATCGATGCGCATCGAAACCAATCGACGGGAAGACACCATTCCAGATGTGAACTGGAAAGCTACCAAGTCTGCAGCATCTAAGGGTAATTGGTACGAAAGCCTACATTCTTGATAAGGCCCCGTCGAAGGGTAAATTTGACACCCGAGCCAAGGTGGGTGTTTTAGTCGGGTATTCGGAAGTGACAAAGGGCTATCGTTTTTGGGTCCCTTCTGACTGTAAGATAGTTTTGTCCAGGGACGTGCAATTTTTGCCAGAAGCCAAGAATGTCCCGGTCGGATCGAACGAGGAAGCAATTGAGAGTAGTTCTGATGGGCATCCTGAGGAGGTCGAATTTTATTTTTCTAGGTCTGTCCCTTCTCTGAATAATGAGCAAGCAGATGATGCACCGGTCGACGTCTACCCAACCGGGAGAAACTGTGCGGAGGAGGCCTGGAAGGCCTCGTTTAATTCGCACAGGACTTCGTGGAAGGCCGAGGAAACTATATTGTTCGACGAGCGTCCCAGATGATGGAATAAACTCCGCTAATGCATCCGAAACGCCTATGGAGAATGAGCGAGTCCAAATGTTGGACCCTGATGTACCGAACGAGAAAGGCGCATTGAATGACAACGAGGTATTCTACGATGCGAATGCTGCAGAGGAAGTAGCCTTCATGTCTGAGGTTAATTTTGAAGAGGCCATGACTGGACCAAACTCTGAACAATGGAAGGAGGCAGTGGTGCAGGAGATGAGGGCTATGCTCGAAAAGAATACATGGGAGCTGGTGGACCGCCCGAAAAACCGTGGCGTGGTTGGCAGCCGAGTTGTTCTCACGAAGAAGTTCGGAATCGACGGAGGTTTGCATCGTCGAAAGGCACGTTTGGTTGCGAAGGGATTTTCGTAAAAACCGGGTATAGATTTTATACAAACATTTGCACCTGTGGCTCGTTTGGAGTCTTTGAGGTTGTTGATGGCCCTGGCGGCGAGGTATAAGATGGCCGTGCATCAATTGGACATTGTAACTGCATATTTAAATGGCCATTTGGATGAAGAAATTTTCATGGAGACGCCGGTGTTCCTCAAAGAGGCACTTGAAGAAATCTTAAAACGTGAAGGAAAAGGGACAGAGATTGGTGCCAAGGCTGATCGAATGTTACGAGTACTGCAGAGGGGAGATAAAGTGTGTCTCCTTAAACGAGCCCTATATGGACTGAAGCAGGCTGGCCGTCAATGGAATAAACGACTGGACGAGGTCCTGCGGAATTTGGGTCTGATGCCATCTCACGCGGATCCTTGCTTATATTTCCGGCGGGAGAAAGAAGCTTGCATCATGGTCCTAGTCTATGTGGACGATATTTTGATTGCGTCCCCGCATCTGCTATGGACTCAAAATTTGAAGGACGGCTTAATGCGAGAGTTCGAAGTAAAGGATCTGGGTCGAGCCAGATATTGTCTGGGAATTGAAGTAGACCAGACCTCTGACGGTATTTTGTTGTCAGCGGCGTTACATCCAGAATCTTCTGGAACGTTTTGGCATGAGTGGAGCAAATCCAGTTGCTACGCCTGGCATGGCTGGTTCGAGTCTTTCCAAACAGACTGGAATCAAGGATCAAGAGGCGAACTCGCGACCGTATCGCGAACTTATTGGGGCCTTGATGTACTTAGCGATGGCTACGAGGCCTGATATAGCCTTTATCGTTAGCTTCTTGGGACAATTTAATAATTGTCATAAAGAGGAACATTGGGGAGCTGCGAAGAGAGTCCTTCGCTACCTTCAGGGCACGCTTGATTATGTTTTGACTTTCAAGCAGACAGAAGGTGGTGTGGTTGGATATGCGGATGCGGATTGGGGAAACAGTGAGTCTGATCGTAGATCGTACACTGGATATACATTTCTCCTGAGTGGAGCAGCGGTCTCCTGGAAGGCTCAGAAGCAGCGCACTGTGGCGCTCTCTTCAACAGAGGCCGAGTACATGGCCCTTGCCGAGGCGGCCAAGGAGGCAAAGTATTTGCGTTCGCTGCTGTTGGAGCTTGGATTCGGAGAGCTTGCTGCCGTTGTACTCTATTGCCATAATCGCGGAGCCAGGAGTTTGTCGGAGAATCCAGTTTTCCACTCGAGGACGAAGCATATTGATGTTCGTCGTCACTTCGTCCGTGACGCGGTTAAAGAACAATTGTTTAAGTTATCGAACATTCCGACAGATAAAATGTTGGCTGACGTTTTTACAAAGTCATTGCCAAGGGTTAAGCACTACTATTGTATTGAAGCTTTGGGAATGCGTCCGCGCTAGCCTTTTTGGTGTGTGTGTGTTTTTTTTTGGTTTTTGTTTTCTTTTTGGGGCATTTCTTTCCTTTTAATGTATGTCCGCTTAGATTGAGGGTGTTGTGATTAACTATTATCTTTCAATCCTTCGCGGGGTTTGTAGATGGCGTGTTACTGCGCATGCGTTGCGATTGTTCTCTTTGTATCTGCGATTTTCTCCTTTTTCTTGACTAACTGTCTACGGGTGTTCCCCTGAGCACATGTACGCTTTGATAATAAAAGTACTTCTTGTATTCACTGATCCTAATTTATACGCAAACCGCACTCACAGTTCTCTTACACGATACAGAGATTACTCTAATTGTCTATTCCGGTTGCGTGGGACACTCTGTATATATCAATATATTCGGAAAACTCTCCTCTATTGTTTAAGACCAATGTGAATATTCTAGCGTTTTTACTTTCCGCGTAGTAGACCATTTTCCCCCCAAAACACATATTTTTACAAAAACTCGTGTTTTTCGAAAACTGAAGGTGATAGTGGAGGGTGTTTCGGATTTCGGATTCGTGTTCAGGACGAGTAGCTCTACAATCATCACCCAATGGCTATTGGAAAACAAAATTCGTGTTGGACAGTGATTATTATTTACACACAATCTTTTTTTTAATTGGTCAACTACTGGTGCTTTTACCTTATTTAAAAAATAAAATTATTAAAAATATCGGCAATTAACAATACGTTAACTTTCATGGGGGTTATCGATGATCAGCATTACAAATTTAATAAAATGGAATAACTAGAAAAAGAACAAAGAAAATTGTAATATTCGAATTATACCAGTTACAGAAAATTCCCTACAAATGTTTAAATTACAATAAATGCAACTTGAAAATTGTGCAAATTATACAGCTAAAATTCAGAAATTTGAACACCCCGTATTGATAATTGGAATATTGAAAAATTTGGGAATTGTAAATAAAAAATTGTATATTTGATATTTTGTAAGTTACAAACTGAATATTGAAAAATTTGAAAATTGCAAGTTGAATGATTGAAAATTGAAAATTTGAAAAGTACAAACTGAATGTTTAAAAATACTAAAATTAAAATTTGAAAAACTACGATTTCAAAGTTTGAAATTTATAACCTAAAAACAAATGAAATATTAATCAAAAGTTAAAAAGGAGGTTGATAATATAACTTGAATAGAATGATTTTTTATTGCACTTCATAAAGAATTAAATTAATATATAGAATATGTAGCAGAATTAATGTTGTAAATATCTTTAGCCGGTGATTTCGTAAAGTTTGGCTTCACAATGGCTTCAACGACGACCCTTTTGGCATGGGGTGCGGTCAGCTGGCCAGAAGCTTACAACGCAGCCGGTCAACTTGATGAACTTCGCAAAGCCATCAAATGGGCCACTGATTACTTCATCAAGTGCCATGTCAGCGAATACGTCTTCTACGGTCAAGTTGGTGATTTCTCTTTGGATCACACCTTCTGGGGAAGACCTGAGGAACTAAACACCACCAGACCTGCTTACAAAATTGATCCTGAACATCCTGGTACGATTATTTCATTACTCAAATTCAAACACATAAAACAAAGATTATTGTTAATTAATCTTTGAATTACTACCTTCGTTGCAAGAAAATTCTTCATGTTTACTTAATAAACTATTTAATTCAATATGTTATTAATGTAAATAAAATAGTCATTATGTATTATAGAATTTTATTTGCAATAAGGTATTTTTTATCATAGCTGTTCCTATTTCTTTTTAAATATAATTTTTAAGTGTCGAATTGATAAAATTATAATATTTCTATAGATATTCTCATATTATTTTGAATTATTGTATTTAAAAAAACAAAAAACATTCTTACAGGATAATGTATCATTCATAATATACGTATAGAATGAAATATTATCGATTATATCGACAATTGTATTCAAACATTTATTTCTTATTTCTTGTTTCATCCATATAATTATATTAAATTTAAGATGTCAATCAAAAGATGAAATAATGACAAAAATTCTATATACTAATAAAATTAGACTAACAATGCGAAATGGCAAGTAAAGCATTAATCCTTGGACAGCATGGTCTGGGTCAATCAAGACTAAAACTTACAACATATAAACAAGGATATTAACCTCAAATTGAACGTATAATTTTTGAACGAAAAAGTTTTATATATTTGAAGAATAAGTTTCGAAAGGACAATGTCAAATTTATAAAATAAAAAAATATGAAATACAAAATTAAATTAAAATTGGGGCTCTCTCCGTGGTCCGCCGTTCGAGGGTTAATTATATTATAATGTCAGTATATTAATGGCAATTTATATATTCTCCCCCAACTATAATAACATCATCTCTCGTTTCGACCTCGATCAACTGGTTCGGATGGGATCCCCATTCTTGATTGGCGGCAATTGGAAAGCCAAACACTCTCTTTGGAACAATTATGTCGATAACGCTAACGATAAAACCGTTTTTAACCACATGATCAGATCCGACTATAGAATGATCCATCTCGACGCGTTCACCACGATTTCCACTTATTGTAGATCTTCGGTCGTTGATTTTTTCATCTCCAACTGCCCTCAGAGCTTTTCTTGCACAACCCTGGATCAGCTAAATTCTGACCATGCTCCGGTTGTCCTTTCTGTTTCTGGTTCAACACGGCCTGCTGGTCTCGACAGGGCCACGGATTGGAAACTCTACAATCAGCTAATCTCGAATTTCAAAATTCAATCCAAATATTGTTCCACTGACGATATTGACAAGTCCATCAAAACCTTGACCTCATTCCTTCACGCGTGCCATCGTCGGGCCACCACTCGTGTCGATAATTCCATCTCCAAACATAACTACCTGATAAATGACTCCGAACTTTAGTTACTCATAGCAGCCAGGAGGCGTTTGAGGAAATTGGCTCAAAGGATTGGCAGCTACACGCTTCATGATAGAATCCATGATCTATTCGCAGCTATTAGGAAACGTATTTCCGTTCTCCGTCACACCAATTGGATTAATAAACTATCTTCTTTCAAAAAACCTGATCCAACCTTTTGGAGCACATATCGCGCAATATCCTCTACAGGCGACTCGAAAAGACTTCCACCACTTGCTCATAATTCTTGCACCGCTTGCTCTGACTACGAAAAAGCGGAGGTGCTTGCTAGCAATTTCATTAACGTTCATAACAGTGCATCTTCTCTAAACTCGCCATATTCACCGTCAATTGAGAATTTTATTTCCAACCTACACAATAACAACAACTCAATTCTTGAAGATAACACGCCTATAACTGGTCTGGATCTTTCTCCTTGTCGTATCTTCAACCACATTCGCCGCTTAAAAAATCGTAAAGCTCCTGGTCCAGACAGAATCTCAGCTCCTATGTTGAAAAACGCCTTATTCAAGATCTCCATTCAGCTTTATTATCTATTCCGTAGCTCCGTTAAACTAGCCTACTTTCCTGAGGCTTGGAAAATCGTAAAGGTTATTCCCATTCTCAAACCTGGGAAACCAAAAAACATCCCTGCCAGTTACAGGCCTATCAGCCTTTTATCAATTCCCGGTAAGCTGTTCGAAAAAGTCATCTTCTCTGCTATATCTTCACACCTCTCATCGAACAAAATTATCAGTGACCAACAATTCGGATTCTGTCAATAGCATTCGACACTGCAACAAGTTGCTCGAATTTCCCAATTCATTTCCAAAGAGTTAAACATTCGTCGCGCGGTGGGGATGGCCTTGCTTAACCTTGTCAAGGCCTTCGATATCGTTTAGCACGACGTGCTTCTCTTCAAACTGGATGGCATCAACCTACACCCAATACTCATTCTGCTGCGTCACTCTTACCCCAATAATCGCCAACTATTTGTACAAATTCTGGGCTCGCAATCCCCTTTCTTTAAAATTTGTGCTGGAGTGCCACAGGGCTCCATTTTGGCTCCTCTCTTGTTCAGTATCTACATAAATGATATCCCTCAGTGCCTCGATTGTATCCTAGCTCTTTATGCCGACGATACGGCTATTCTGACCTCTTCCGTCAGACTCTCTCACTTGATTTTTAAAATACAGCGGTATCTGGACATCATTCTTGAGTATTTCGCTGACTGGAAGCTAAAAATTAACCCGGACAAGTCAGAGGCCGTACTATTCACCCAACGCAGGAGGGATTTTCCCATTGTGGACAACTTCAAAATTTCCGTCAACAATCTTGTAATTCCATGGTCCCCTACTGCACGCTATCTGCGCATTGTACTCCACCATAGTTTCCGTTAGTTCTGCGCCGCTCAAGGCTGTATCAAGAAGGCCTTGGCTGCATACCGCACGCTCCATAGACACCTCAATAACGCTCCTCCGTTACACGTCTCCATCCGTCTCAGCATCTATAAAATGTGCATCCGACCGATCCTGACTTATGGTTCTCAAATTTTGTGGCCAATCTGCCCCAAATATTGTAAAACTACTATTCAGAGAGTCCAGAACAAAATTCTAAAGGCTGTTCTGAATAAACCTCAACGATTTCCTACAACTTTACTCCATAACATCGCAAAAGTATCTTTAATCAAAGACTACGTAGCTCATCTTCGGTCAAATTACTTCGCCAATGACCATTCAAATCCTCTTGTTCAATTTATTACATCAGAGGAAAATGTGCCTTTTCGCTCTGCATACCCTTTTCCCACCCTATGACTCTGTCTTTTCACTTCCTGCTCGCCTTGAGCGTTTCCTCTTTCCTTGACATCTAGTATAGCTACATCCCTTGGCTTTTGCCCTGTATGTGCACTGGTGCCGCCAGTGCTCCCTCTACCTATTTCCTAATTTTCCTTCCCTGATTACTTTATTAGCAGGTTTTTTGAAAATTTTCCTGCTCCCACTCAAATCATCCAACAATTACATTGATGTCGGTAACGCGAAGATAATTTTCTTTTATTGGTTGGTAAGCGGGCATCTGCTCGCAGGAACAACTTATATGGGAGTCCTGGAGGTTAGGGCACAACCCTCCCTGTCTCCCGACCACATTACGAAAAATAAAAAAAAAAGTATATTGATGGCAATTTAAAGTAGCCATAGTGCTTTTCTAATTGTAAGTGTAATTAAATGTTAAGAGATAAAATGGTATGTCGCTATTAATATCAGCAAAACATATAGCAGTAATATGGACTAATTCAAGCCGAGTATCCACTTGTATCAAACGCCCGTATCGTATCACCGTTCCGAACCCTTTTGAAGAGACAGGCGTTGCTTCGTTACATGCCACGGCGTGCTGCGGCTCAGACAACATTTCTTTGTTTCTTGATAGAAATGGTTCGGCAACAGGACTGGGCCACTACAGGCGAGGAGTTTCGTTTTCCTGCGTGCTGTTCCAAAGGAACGGAGGCAACGGACCCATCCGAAAAAGTCGATTCTTTGCCGTTGCATCGAAGGAGAGGTTCATGCGTTTGCACTTGACATAGCGTTTCGTGCTGTCACTTGGGTTTCAAGTTCAATAAATTAACATTTCAATTTATTTGAAACCTTGCGGTATTATTGGATTCATTTCAAAATTGATGAAATTATTTATGAATTTAATCTAATTTAATTTAGACAAATTTTATCGTCTAAATATATTTAAAGAGATCAATTATCTTCGGTGCTGCGCTGTACATAAAAGAGCAATGTTAATAATCACCTGCGTGATTATTGAAAAAGGACAATGTTAATTTTCCAGAGATTTTTCCGTTGCCGAGTATCGAAAGTTCTATTGGTCTGTGATACGGAGGTGAAGGAACGGGCCGATCAGAAAATTGTCGGTTTCTTGCCGTTCAAAGGATAGGTTCGGAGACCACTTGAAGCGTAAAAACAACATACCCAGGCGAAGGCCCAAATAGCTATGTCAAGTGGAAACATCACACTTGAGGCATGGAATAATATGATCTGGGATCGGATATATCAGTGAGATAATACTAATGTAATGACTGAACTTTGTTATTTTTCATTTTTTTCTTATAAAACTTTTACCAAAATATTTGTGACGTTTTTCTGATTAAAATGATACCAAACAGGATATGTTTTGGACAATTTTTACTTATAATAGTGTTTGCTATTTCTGAACTGTATCTTCTAAACAAAAAAAAGAACCAAAAATAAAAAAGTACAATTATTGGTAATTTCTATGCGCGCGAATACGCATTTGTTGTTCGTTTTTAACATTTGTAATTTTTTAAAACTTCAGAATATTAAGATCATATTATTTTCAAAAACATTCTATTTGACGGCACCAGAGAGATTATTTTTATTACATCTGCAAGTTAAAAGAGGAATTTTAGGAATCGCTTTATAAGTTAGGGAAATAAAATAGGGAAAAAATATAACATATAATAAGTTATCTCTAAGTTATAAACCGATTCCCAAAATTCCTCTTTTAACTTGCAGATGTGATAAAAGTTGTATAGTATTAATTGTAAGCGACAGACTCCTACAATAAAGAAACATCACGCAGCAAACCGAAACTCCTCGCCTATAGGAGTTTCTTTCAAGAAACGAAGAAATATTGTCCGAG